TCACTTCCGGTATAATGGACCGAGCGAATCATTCATACCAAAGGATTATTAATAGCAATGACGAGCAATAAGACATATCCATCCTATAACAATACAATCTCCTACTATATAAATAAACATATTACGTGTTGAGCATCTCAGTGCAAAGTGCTCAGTCTTTACAAACAACTGTTTAAATAATATTTAATATGCCCTCTATATCAAGTAGCTGAGAATATCAGTACAAAGAAAAAAATGAAGAAAAATATGTGAATGTACAAATATCAGAATACATATCTATATATTAATCAAAGTGAGTATGCAGATGAAAATGCATAAAGCTGCCTAACTGCAGGCATGAGCATACAAAACTATAAAAAATATATGTGAGGTGCGTGAATATAAGTGTATGAATGGGTGTATGAATGTATCTATATAGGAATGAATGGATGGATAAAAGGATATGGAAATGAATGATTATGAATGTGGAAATGTGAAAAAAATGGAAAAAAATGGAAAAAAAAAATAATACAAAATAATTTAAAAAATAAATAAAATTAAAAATAACAATAAAAATAAGAATAAATATAAAAATAATATAATAATATAATAAAGTTTGAAAAAATGATATAAATAATCTTTTTCGATTAAAAATAAATACCAAGTGACTTGCTATTGTCATGCTCAACACCTTTACATAATATCACGCGCTTATCCGAGTCAGCAGCAAACAAATTATATGAAGGTTCAATGAAAACAAATTATTTTATATACAAAGGCATCCAAAGTAATGTATCTGTAATTGGAAAACAAGTGTTAGTTTCATCCATAAGAATCAATTCTAAACTTATATCTAGATATTACAAGGTGCGATGGACAACAGAAATGTGTAAAAAGAAAGAAATAGAAAAAGAAAACGCAAGAACAACAAGAAATTAGATAAACCCAGCGAAATCTATTTCCTGATTTAGACCATAAATTAAAGTTTTTAAATGAAAGATCCACTGGGCCTCTTTAGTGTTTAACGAGGTCTCGATATTTCCTCCTCTCCAGTGTCAATCCCAATTGCTAGGAATGGGTTCCATTGAAATTGAGGACAGAAGGTACAGTGTCTAGGTACACTATGGTCTAATTTCTTATTTCTTTTATTTTGGAAATGCTCCAGCAATCTGACATGTAATTTTCGGATAGTCCGACCAATATACTGTGCTCCACAACCACATTGTAATAAATAAATTACATGGGTGGTGGAGCACTGAATGAATTTTTTAATAGGGTATGTTCGTTGTGTATATGTGCCCATGAATGTATTCATTTTCCTTTTTTGAAAGGTACAAGTGGAACACTTTCCACATCGAAAAAAAACCTTGTAATAGTTTATTAGAAAAAATCTGAGTAGGTTGTGTCGGAATGGTTTTAGCTATAGGAAGTATACTTGGGGCCAATTTATTCTTTAAATTATCTGCCTTTTTGTAGATTATTGTGGGTTTATTTGGTAAAATATTATTCAAAAAAATGATCCTTGTTTGATATATGCCAGTGGCGATTGATTATATTTTGAATCTCCCTAGCTTGGGAGTGGTCTCTCGTTACAAAAGCAAAATCACATTTATTTCCATTTTTATTTTTTGAAACGTTGGCACTTGTTTTAGTGAGTAATTTCTTACGATCTGTATTGATCCAAGTAAATTCTGCTTCTTCAATTATTTTTGAATCGTATCCTTTCTCTATAAAGTTCTGAAGATGTCTAATCTGATCAATTACAGGGTGATGAGAGCTTGAATAGTCTATAGCGGTATTGCAGTCAGTGCTCTTAAAAAAAGTCTTCGTTTTCAGAACATTATTTTCTATATAGATTGTTAGATTTAATGTGTGTAGTATGACAAGTGGAGGTGAAACTTAAATTATACTCATTTTGGTTGATGTATGAGATAAAATTATCCAAACTAGTTTGGACCCCCTCTCAAGTTATAAAGACATCGTCTATGTAGCGTCGCCACAGGACGAGATTCCCCCCCAGCTTCTGACCAAAAGTTACCTGACTGGATTCCCATTGCTATGTCCCAGTCATTTTTCTCATTATACCATGTCTCAGTAACAGCGACTAAATCTACACTATCAGTTGCCATTATTGCCACAAGTTCATGGATCTTATTCCCTAAACTGCGAGCATTTGTAGACATGACTCTAAGCTTATCATTTTTTTAACACACTTGCTACAGGCACCTTCTGTCCTTGTTATATGTATATTTATATATTATATGTATATTTATATTATGTATATATTTAGCATTACACTATTTGGCCCATTTTCACCCTCTTTTAGTTCAAT